AGCTTATAGGATCCATGAAACTTTACAGGATATACTCATTTTAGGCTTTAAGTAAGGTCAAGATAATTAAAGTACAGGAATTACTTAATAATTAAAGTAAGATAATTAAAGTAAAAGGAAGAAACAGACAAAGCAAGTGAACATAGAGATCGAAAATATTTAGGTACAACTCCTGGGGTACTTTCTCAACTGCACATGATGAAATTCATCTTTGTTGTGAGCGACCAAAAAATGTGCAGAGGCACCTTTGTTTCACCCAAGCCAAGGTACATATTTACTGAGAGTCTTTTAAACCTTACTGGTTGCAGAGCCAAAACTGGGACTTCCATATTATGGCTAGGCCTCATCTAATCAGTTGAAGGCCTAAATTAAACAAAAGACACACACATATCACACACACACACACACAGATATATATAATTTCTTTTCACAATATACTGCTGAGAAAAAAAATGCAAACCCTAGACTGATAGAAAATACTTGCAACACATACATCAGACAATGGATTTGCATGCAGACTGTATGAAGAACTTTTATAGGTCAGAAATAAAAAAGATACAAAAACTCAATTAAAAAAAGTTAAAATTTTAATAGCTATTTCACAAAAAGATATATGAATGGTCAATAAGCACATGAAAAGATGCTCACCATCACTGGTCATTAGGGAAATGCAAAATGAAACTATGTTTAAGTTTGCTCCAGGTCTTTTCATGGCCTAATAGCTAATTTCTTTTTAGTGCTAAATAATATTCCATTGTCTTGATGTACCACAGTGTATTTATCTATTCATCATTCATCTACTAAAGTTCATCTCAGTTGCTTCCAAATTTTGACAATTATGAATAAACCACTTATAAACATCTGTTTGCAGGCTTTTGTATGGACTTAAGTTTTCTACTTCTTTGGATAAATACCAGTAAGACTGATTGTTGGATCATATGGTCAAAGTATGCCTAGTTTTGTAAGGAACTACCAGTTGTCTTCCAAAGTGACTGTACCATTTTATATTCCCACCCGCAGTGAATGAGAGTTCCTAGTGCTTCACATCCTTTCCAGCATTTGTATTGTTAGTGTTCTGGGTTTTGGTATTTTCATAGGTGTGTAGTGGTATTTCACTGTTGTTTTATTTGCATTTCCCTGATAATATGTGATATGGAACATCTTTTCATAGGCTTATTTGACATCTTTATGTCTTCTTTGATGGGGTGCCTATTCAGGTTTTTTGCTTATTTTTTAATTGGATTGTTTCAATTTATTGTTGAGTGTTAAGAGTTCTTTGTATACTGTGGATAACAGTCCTTTATCAGATGTGTCTTCAGTCTGTTGCTTGTCTTCACATTACCTTGGCATTGGTCTTTTGCAAACAGAAGTTTTTAATTTTAATAAAAGTCCAGCTTATCAATTCTTTTATGGATTGTGTCTTGGGCGTTGATTCTGAAAGTCATTACCATATCCAAGGTCATCTTGATTTTCTCCTATGTTATCTTCTAGGAGTTTTATACTTTTGTATTTTACATTTAGGTTTGTGATCCATTTTAGTTAATTTTTGTGAGGTGTGTAGGGTCTATCTAGATTATTATTATTTGCATGTGGAAGTATCATTTTCATAAGTGCTTACTGAAGAGTATTATATACTCGTATATAAAGTAAAAATATAGTGAATATAGTATTTATTAAAAAACAGTAAAAAAAAAATCCCCTCGCCTCACAGACTTCTGTTTCTCTGGTTCCTCTTTACGGAGATCAGCTCTAATACTAGTTTTGTTTATTTCACCTGGAGTTATTTAAGCATATTTCTGTATGGTTTGACAGCTATTTATCATTATGTTTTATTGACATACAATATATTATTAAATCCTTTACCAATCACTAGTTTTCTAAGTTATGTCTAGCCTTTAATAATAAAAAATGATAAAATAAAAAGGCATTCCGCTTCGAGGAGGTAATTTCATGTCATTAAGTGGACATTTGAGAGTTGCCAAGTACAGGGATTTCAACACCTAGCACGGGCCCTGCTCTATAACAAGCAGTCCGCAAGGGTAGGGCAATCAGCTGTTCTGGTCCCAGACACTGCCTGACACACTTAACAGTGGTATTTAAATTGATGGATGGATGGATGACTGAGTGCTAGTATATAAAATATGTGGTACAGATTGAAAACTATAAAGGAGATAAAGGACAATTTGGTTGCATTATGAATTCTAAATAGAGATCCTTAGGGAAGCTTGAGAAATCTCCCCAGTATGTTATGGGTAGGAGGGTAGAATTAAAATGGCTGATTCTCTGCAGGCTGGCTGCCCAGAAGATGGAGTTGGCCTCCTGCAAAGATTCATAAAAATTGTTGAATGTTGAAGGCACTTGGTTGTAGTAAAATGACAAAGTGATGGAGAAAGCCACGGATGTATCATGTCATATAAATTGTAAGCAAAATGTTCAGACCTCATGGAAGGAGAAGTGAAGTTTCATCAATTCCAAATGGTGGGGTTGTGGAACAAAATTGGGGACCAAGTTTCCACCTTGGAGAACTACCAGAACAGCAAGAATTAGACCCCAAATCAGGCAGTAGGGAATTTAAACCACTGTCTGCTCTTTCTCTTTTCCTAATTTCTTCTTTCTCAAGTCCCCTTCAGGCACCTTCGGTAGATGTGATAACGTCTGGCAAAAAAAATCCAGAAGGATTTCAAATTTTTTTTTTCCCACTGATCACTTTGTTTTGCTGCTTTGTTGGACCTACTTATCTGTGATGTGGCCCAGAATCTGAAATCTTCATCTGTTTTGATCTGAACCCTGAATATGAGGTGTGGCCCTACCAGTTACCAGTATTATGGTAATTTGGATTATCACCAGATACCAGTATTATGGTAAATTATAGTAATTCGGATAGTGTAGTATTGGCACATGGATAGAAAAGTAGATGAGCAACTCAAGAAACAGACCCATCTATATACTAATATCTGATTTACAACAAAAGTGTCATGAGTGCAGTGTGGAAAAGATGGACTTTTCAATAAATGGCTCTGGATTAACTGGAATATTGATGTAGAAGACTTGATCCTTATTTCACATCAGAAACAAAAATCAATTCTAGATGGACCATAGACCTAAATGTAAAGGTAAAATAATAAATAATCTTGAAGGTGACATAAGAGAATATCTTCATGTTATTGAGTTTGGCAGCAATTTCTTCAGTAGGACATAAAGAGTAATAACTTTATTGAAAAATGTTAATAAATTGGAATTCATTGAACATGACAACTTGAATTCCTCAAAAGACCCCATGTAAAAGGTTAAAAAAGTCAATTCATATAGTGGGAAAAGTTATTGCAGAATATATATCCAAGGAAGGACTCATACACAGACTATAAAAAGAACTTTGACAACTTCATTGGAAAAAGTTGTCTATAAAAATGGGCACCAATTTTAAAAAGTGTTCTGCTAAAGAGGATATCTAAATGACCAATAGCTGTAGTCTTTATGACACCATCAATGATAAGGGAAATGGATATTAGAGCCACAGCACAATAGCATCCCATATCCCACATAATGACAACAAATACAAATACACATATACACTCCCACACGTATAAAACTTACAGTGCTAGTGAGGATGTGCAGCGATTGGCTTATACATAACTGGTGAGAATATAAAACAATGTATAATTTTGGAAAGCTGGAACTTTCTACTAGTACAAAAACATACCTTCCCATTCCCCAGCAATCGTATTCTTAGACGTTATAACTGACTGCAAACGTCTCCCAAACAACATGTAGAGAAATATATTCATAACAACTTTATTTAAAATAGCCCAAAAGAAGATAAAACCCAAATGTCCATCCAGAATAGATAATTAAATTTCATAC